GCTGGACTCGCAAGAGCTCACAGATTCTGCCACAAAACCTGCCACCGGGAACACTCCCCCGCCATCCATCTCCGCAGCCGCTGTCGGCTGTCACGCTACACACGGAATAAAATAACTATAATAACACTCACGCAGAAATCAAAAGCCCACGTGCCTGAAAGGTGGCTGAGCTGGAACCAAATGAGATTGGTCTGAGAAGTGGAAGAGGAGCCTATTCCCCCCGCGTGCCGCCTCCGCCTCTCCCAATAAGACAGCTGTGTATCCTGGGATGCTGAGGTGTCAAAAGATTCACAACCTGCTCCTGCATTTATTTGCTCCTCTTTTATCTCCGCCTTACGGAAACAATGCAGTCGAAGGAAACCTGTGCCGAGCGTAGAGACAGACCCAGGTTTGTCACCTGCTGTAAGGAGCCAGGACCACTGATTACCAAGATGCAAGTACCCAAATGAAAATTAATTATGATTTTCATTCACAGCCAATGACAGCATATTATTGCACTGAACAACAGGAAAAATTATTCTCTCCCATTTTGCATCAAAGAGGGTGCAATCGGGCTGCATATAATTGTGCTTAATGAATGAAAACAAACAAAGGGAACAGCTGCGATTTATTAATCCCATTACAAACAATAAAAGAAGTTCCTGAGAGCTGTGAACACACTTGTGATGCTCGGAGAGTGGGTGACAGCAAGACACTCAACAGATGTCAGGCTGCTGTTAGTGGGCAAGAAGAGGACCTGTGCCCCTAAAGAGCAGCTCATTAATGCCACACGGTCCCCTCCTTGCTCTCACCCAGGGCTTGGAGGATTTATTTAAGGCTTGGGGGACTTTTAGCCTGGAGGAAGCGAGCACCTGATGACGGCTGAGGGATAATGGCTGCCCTGCAGCAGATCTAGATCCTCCAGACTGCTCCTCTTCCATCCTCATGGCAGCACAGAGCTGTTGTACAAAGTGTAAAACCCCAAAAACCCTTCACGGCCAACTCATCATGCAGAGCTATGGGGGCCTCCTGGATGTGCCACCCCAAGTCATTTGGGGGGTGGAGGTCTCACCAGCATGGTCATCGGTACCTGGCCACCAGCTGAACAGCGACCACCACGTGGTGCCTTCCCAAGCACCAGGGTTTCCTCCTATCCCTGTAGGCAAGCCAGGCCCTCCTCCTCCTCCTCTTCACTCCTGCAGAGCACCTAGCTCCACAAGGATCTTGGCCACCACAGTCCCAGCGCTGACCTTAGACCCAGGGGCCAGGTCTGCTACAAACTGCCTGCGGACTCCCTAAATTCAGACCTCGAAGAGGCACTGGGAGATGCCTCTTGAGGTTGCTGCAGGGTACAACGGGGACCCCGTTTTCTCTCCCCATGGGGAGAGAGGCTGGCTCTCCCGGCTCTGTCTGAGCAAGGAGATGTTCTGGCACTCTGTCACCTAAATAAGCCATTGTTTAAACACAGTCGTCAGTCCCCTTTATTGGGACAATAAAACCTATACTATCACGTTATATGTATAGATTCATATTTTACCGTTGTTACATATTTTATTGCTTTAATAAAAAGATGCAGGGTGTGGATTTGAGCAGTGCTTTACAAAGTTAATTTGTATAAATTTCAACACAGAGTTTTTAACCATCCTTACTGATGTTCACAAAGCAAGCACTGAAGAGGCCACTGCATCCTCTAGCATCCCTGGGGAGCAGAGCCAGACGCAGTCTGTATAATCAGACGGTGTTGGACAGGAGAGGCGGGGAGGGGAGGCACACTAAGATAACACCATGAACTCTGTAGCCCCACGGAGCTCACGTGCCAAATGAGTAGAAAAATAGGTATCGCCCACATTACTCACTACAGCAAATACGAGGAACAAAGCGCTGCCTACACCAGCGCCTGGCTCCACGCCTTCCAAACCTTTCCTTGCCTGCCAGCCTGAGTGCAAACACAGACTACGTTGCCCTCCTGCATTTCATGGGGTGTTTTTCTACAGGAAGAAGCATGGGGACTGCAGAAATGAGGCAAAAACGAGGGCAAAGGGACACGGCTCGCAGCCAAGCTTGACTCCCCATTGCTGCATCTTACCTCATCCTTGTACTTGGTGATGTAGGAGTAGATCTCGTGCAGCGCACTCATACTGTTGAACTGACTGAGGTGTAACCGCGATTGCTCCGCCAGGTACGCGCTCATGTCCTGGTCACTGATCGCTGGCATTTTAGCAATATCTGCATAATATCTGCAAGGGAGAAACAGAAGAGTGGGTCTGAAACAGGGACAAGACAGAAGGGGACGAGCCCGCAACGCTCGTCGAGTACAGCCTCTGGAAAGGCAAGGTGAGGAGCAGCTTGCCTCCGAGCGGTGACATACCACGATCACCCGTTTACAATGCTGCTGCTCATCGAGGTCTCTGAGCAGAGCAATCAGCATCATTAGCAGCACACTGCCAATGGAGCAGTGCTGAGCCCAGTCGACCATGCTGGGGAGCCAGGAGCTGCTGCTCTGAGGGATTTCCCACCCTCTCCTAAACCACACGTTCTTCCTCCTTCCCATCCCATTGCCATGAAACTGCACCCACCAGAATCCTGCATGCCTGCAGCAATCCATAAGGCTTTGCTACCATTCTCCTAAGGTTGCCGTGTTGCTAAAGCCAATGATGCCCCATCGCATCCAATTAAAAACTTGGTGCGTGAACACAAGACAGGTTCACGTCCAGCCTTCACAGTGATACACATCCATGTGGTTACATCCTCCTCAGCAACAGGCATTCAACATAGCCTACAACTGCCACTGGCCACGCTCAGAAGTTACCGCGCACCAAAAAGCTATGAGAAGCTTTCATTTTCAGCAAAACCCAAGGTTTTTCAGACATGTCTGTGAAATCAAAGGATCCTGAGTAGCAGTGGAAGTAGCTGATGTCTCAGGGCATGCCTGGGCCAAATGACTTGGCGCTTTCCTGCCTCCTTGTGCCTCTCTGATGGTTGCTACCAGCAAGACACTACCTTACATTTCCTAGGACACCCTAAAATTTGCAATCCCATCCCATAGCTGCCTCACTGATATGCTCATTAAATATAGGGGAATCCAGATACAACTTTCATGGTCCAGAATTGTAGTGTGAAAACAGAATATCTAACAGGGTATTCATCAAAACCCAGGGAGATCAAAGCCACAGCATCCCATTGCAGCAGGAGCGTTACACCAAGCAGACACATCAGTGGACTGGCTGCTGAGGTCCTTTTGGAAACCAGGTGCCCACAGGCCTCTGTTAAAACAAAACAAAACAAAACAAAAAACAAACCTACCCACAGCAAATGAGACCTGGCTGTTCCTACCACCTGGAAATACAGAGCGTCAGTCTCTCCCAGGTTTACTTTACTCCTCATGACTCCTCAAACTGCTCAGCAAACTTTCTGGTACAGTGATTAGCATCATCAGCTGAATGCTGAGGTGGAACATGGCTGAAGCACTTGGATAGGAGCAGATGGCAGTAAGACCACTTAAGGAGATGAATATGAGGATCCACTCCATCCCACGGTGCTGAACTCAGCTAGTGTTAAAATACTTGGGCAGTTTTTACAAGGAGGTGCATTCATGCCGAGAAAGTGATGCCAGAGATTTCCTGGATGCTGCCAAGAGAGCAGCGGTCTGAGGTGAGGACCTCTGACTAAACCAGGCATCAAGAGATCCGCCACGCCGCTAGAGAGATCGCTCCCAGAGTGACATCTCCTAAAGCTGACATTACTTCTACCTGTGCTGAGGAATATTAGGGATCAACCTGCTCAGTTCCAGCCAGCTTTGACTAGCAAAGAAAACCCACAGAGATGCTCCTGGCCACCCTTTAATGCCATAGTGAAGGCCTCTGTGGGAAGAGACTTGTAGGAGAGGAACTACAAGAGAGATCTGCTGAAAAAGAAAGCTTTTGTAGCTGCCACAAGGAGATGTCCAGCTAACATGCAGCAGTTTTACCTTCTGGGTTTTATCATGACACAAAGTATGGCAGGAAACCATCATTTTTCAATACCAGTGTACATGGCCCATGTGGACCAAGATCCCAGTCACACCTTCCATTTCCAGAGGACACCTACCACAGCCATGACCCTGGCAGCAGTCCCCTTGGGCTTCCCAGGCTCCCCACCTCCCAAGCCCTCTACCATGCTCTTCCTGCCTCAGACTGGCAGGATGCCCTTTTTTTCAGCTGGTGCCTGCACCACAGCAGCAGACCGACCTGCTGTTGGGACAAGCGGTCCCACTAGGCCACCCTCACATTGCTCTCATCCTGCCTCTGCAAAGCTTTGCAATGCTAACCATGCCAAAAACCAGAAACGCCCATTATGCCATAAATCCCCGCAGCAGAGCAGCGGTGGGAGACCTAGTCGCACCCTGCACGGGGCAGCTCTGCCCCCTGCCCGGCTGCCTCTGGGACCGTACCGGTGGTAAGCGATGGCAGAACATCTGTCACCGGTAAGATCCCTCCCCAGGGACACAGCGTGTCTAGACCAATGTTTTGCTCTGGAATGGTTTTATACCTTTTCCCCCCTGGGCACACAGAAAGCTGAATATTTTTGTCACAGAAGTGGCAAGGTCTGAGAAATTCACCTTATGAAGTTTGTGATGTTCCTACGGGACCCTGCTCCAAAGCCCCCTCCAGCCCCCTGCAAAGAACTTTCTCCAATTACAATGCAGCTCATCTCTCATCTCAGTCATCACATTTCAGGGGCACCTTTTCTTTTGATCCAAGCCCTCTCTTCCTCGAGGGAAGAAGCTTGTCTTCGTACCTGCCTGCAAATCACCACGCATGCCAACCGTGTGACAAAAATAACCGTGTACAAGCAAGTATCCAAAGGATGATTTAGGCTACAAAGTCCCACACTTGCAAACTAGAGAATATGACACTTATTGTTGCCTGGACATCTTTCATTTGGTTCATCTTGTATCTGGTCTAGATGGTGAAAAAGGGAAGGCTAAAAAAAACCAAAACCGAAACAAAACAACAAAAAAAGAGGATGATCTATAGCACAGCTTATCAGCACAAGGGAAAAGTTGCATCAGCAACCTGAAATCTGCCATTTTTTAAGCGTGACGAAGTCCCACTTTACAACACAGCAACGTTTTAACAGTAGCTCTATTTGGAGGGCTTTGGAGGACATCTCCTAGGTTTCCCTCCCAAAAGGATAAAGCTAAACACAGCATTATGCCTGAGCGCATCAATTTGCAATCAGTAGCATTCAAATCCTGAACCTTTAACACTGCATTAATTCAGCGGGACAGAAGGATGTCTCTCATCAGCTAGCAGTGAACGTGGAGGGTGTCGGAAGGAGTCAGGGGACCTGCTCCTCTCCCTGCTCCTCGGCACAGCGACAGCAGCCCAAGCACTGCCTCAGAGCGCGTGCTCTCATCAGGATCCCAAGCGAGATGTACAGATGGACGAGAGATGGGAAATGGTAATTTTCAACCATTTCAGCAAAACCTGCGTGTATTGTTGTGGTACAAAAAAGGCACCTCTCTAGTCCAAGGCTGACTTCTCACCACTCTTCGAAAGCAATCAAGGGAGGTGGTAGCAATTCCCTAGCACAGACCAAGTTTTAAACCAGAAAACATCAGAAAACCTAAAAGTGGAGGTTGCTTTTAGCACCCCTTAAGCAAGTCATAAACGGCTCTGTCAAACCGTCATTGCATTCCAGGAGACAATCACGAGAAAGCATCATCTCCCAAACGACAGGATTACCTTCCACAAGCATTAGGATGGTCCCTCTTCAGACAGCTGCCTAGAGGAGTCCTCCCAACGACCCAAGTCCCCACACCCACGTACATCCACTGTAAGTCCTCCAGGTGAAGCAAGGAGCTATTGCCAAGTCTACTCACCTTTCTACCCAGCTCTTGTAGTTGGGGATGTCCTTGGCGTACAGTAGTTTGTTGGAGGGAGAGTCTTTTCCTAGCTTGTGCTCAGAAGTTGAGCAGGAGTCCATGAATGTCTGAGCCACCACGGATAGGCAGGCATCAGTAATACTGTTCTTGTGAATGTCGAACACAAACTGGGGGTTCTTAATCACATTCACCCAAAAACGTAGAGGTAGACTGAGGGATGAAGGAAACAGGAGTCAGCACCTGAACCAAGCCCTACAGGGCAGCTGGCACACATGCACCTCCAGTTGTGGAGAAGGAGCTCCCCATGACCCAGAATTGGGCAGGTTGCTTTTCCCAGTACCCCAGGGCAGCAAACATGCTGGGGTAAAAAGGCCGTTCCCCTCTGCCCACCCCCACATGGCCACAGCTCTCCATGGAGAAATTCTTCAGCACTGCCAACATCTCCAAAGGCAAACCAGGGCAGCGCAGACCTGCAGCTTCTCCAAGGATCCACTCATACTGAAGAGCCCTCGCTGAACCCATGGGTCAAACCCGGCAGAGTTCCCTTCTCTCGCAATAATCCCTTCGAAGGCGCCGTGTGGCATTTCACACATCTCCCGTGTCGGAGGAGGGAGTTAACTGGACTCCTCAAGGGACTCATTAGCACATTTAACACCAGAGGAGAATTTAGGCAGCCTCAGATGCTGGAAATAAAGCTCTCAGCTGTAGAAGCAGCAGGTCTCCTTGGCCAGCTACCGACTGGATGTTTCCTGCATACTGACACGCATGCCACCCTCCATGGCTCCATTTCCCAATCCTGCTGCCCCTCTCCTCTCCCAGGAGCATCTCAGGGCCCTCCCCCATCAGAAAGCCTCTCCGCTCTGTCATCCCTCAGCACCAACACCCAGCAAATGCTTTTATCTTAGACAAAACACACTTCGTTCCCCAGGACTTTCCTAATGAGGGTACTGGGTGCATGTACATATTTCATTTGTGAAGGGAATGGCCTCAAGAAATTAGCTCCACACATCGAATTAGCGCCCAGAGATAAGCACGGGCATTAGTATGCAGGAGCCTGCATGCCCAGCCCCTGCGGAGCGGGGCTTTTTTTTCCTCCCCTGCCTTTCGCTCCTTCTTTTAATATAGAAAGCTGAGTTATAAATCAGTTCCAAGCACTTCCGCGCTCTCACATCTCCATTTAAAAATGTTTCCTTTCCTGCCCTGCTAATTGCCAACAGTTACTGAACTATACAAAAGCAATTTGGCTGCCATTTAACAAATGCCAGACACGGGAATGTACGTACCCGTCTCCAGTAACGGCAAGATCAGAGAGATGAAATCAGTGAGGCAGCAGAAAATAAAAATGCCGAGGGGGGGGTTGCGGAGCAGGAGCCAACGCCTGCTCGAGCCCTGGCCCCCGCACTGACGGAGGTCTCATCAGCTGCTCCACCCCGCTTTTCAGAGAGCGATTAGCGGAGCGGACAGGCTGGCTCTGCGGGCAAGGTTAGGGAGGATGCATGCACAGCTTTACGCTGACTGTGTTAGGGCACACTCGGCCGAGTGACAGGAGGGACCGTGGAAACACCTTTAGGACAGTAGAGATGAGAATTGGGGCTGGCATCTCTGGAGGAGCCTGGAGGACAGAGAAGCCCGGAGCCGCCTTTGCCCAAGGTGAGATGGGAACAGAGCTGCTGTGGCCATCAGGGGGAGCGTGGTGCCCGGGATTGGGGGATGGAAGGGCTGGGGGAGCACTGCATTCCTGGGATTTTTTCTGTTGAGGAAGGCATGCAAGGGATTTACCCACACCCGAAACACAGAGATATGGGCCTCTCTTGTCCTGGATCACTCCCAGGAACATATTTCTGCTCCTTGTGGGAGGAGTAGGAGTATCATTAGCTGTACTATCATTAGTCCCCCCCATCCCACTGCCCCTCTCCATTACCAGTTACTCTTCCAGGTGTGCCTGACATCGTAATCATTGATCTGATGCTTATCAGCTTGTTCATCCAGGAAATCAAACATGTATTTGATTGCGAGGGGCAGCGCGCTCCCACGATGCGCTGTGCTGAAGATGGTCTCAAACAGGTCATCCACGAATTTCTGCAGGGTGCCCTGAAGAGAAGAAGGAGAGAAGGGCTGCTCAGCATCACCCAGCACCAGCAGAGAGATGAGTCTTTAACTAAAGGTTGGCCCTTAAACTAATTTCACTTGTATTCCTGCCACGTGGAAGAGAAGCACAGTACAGTCTGTGTAACTCTACTGGTTCTCAGTGGGTTATACTGGGAAACAAACACTGCAGTGATGAGGTATCTCCTTCACTGCATGATCCGGCATGCTAAAAGCATACAAATAAAAGCAGCACATAGAGCAAAACCGAAGCAGATGTACATCATATCATGGTCTTTATTCAGGTCCCATTAAGGTACCCGAGACCTGATGACAAACATCGCTGAACAAGCCCTCGTCCCACGAGGCAGGGAGCCAAGTCACAGGGGAGACGGCTGAGCCCAGTCTCCGCAATCCTGAGCCAGTATCTTCAGCACAGCCCTCCGCTCCTCTCCTGGGACATCTCAGACACACAGCACTCGCTTGGCACTAGAGAAGATTTTGTATGTGCTAGGGTAAGGGGAACCCACTACAACGCCAAATGCCCTTGATAATTACCCTTCCCACATCACTGATTGTGCAGCTTGATCCCAAACACCAAAGGGGATGAGGTGCCAGCCCCAGGGCACCTCTGCTTTGCAGTCCAGCAGCTGCTCAGGGATACAGGAAACAGTAAAAATGCCAAAGGGAAAAAGCAAATAGGAAAATCCACTCGAGGGATATTCACTGAGGGCTTTGACACACAAAAACATCACCTCCGGCTCAGGAAAGAGACAAAGAGTAGCTGCTCCTGTGCCGAAGCAGAAGGCTAATAAAAAAACACTGCTCACCACTTTTGGACAACCCAAATCACCACCCTTTCCCACTCAGATTTAAAAAAGCTCTGCGTCACCGTGCCATACCTTGGTGGCTAATAGGCGGGTCAGGTAGATTTCAGAGACCATCTTGCTGCCCCGGTCACCCTCCCGCTGGTCCATGTGGTCGTGGTTTTTCACCAGGTGCCAGAGCTTGGTGCCGCTCTCCAGGTCGGGGGTGATCATGGGGGTCCGTGAGCGCAGGCTGTCGGGGCTGCTGGCTGTCCGCAGCATGCTCTCTGCAAGCACCGAGCAGAGGGGGATGCTCTTACCCTGCCCACCACCGCCAGCCCCTCTGTCCCACTTCCCTCCGCTGTGGCTTCAGGGTATGTCAGGGCCGTGAAACGGGAGCTTTGGGATCCAGCCCCTGCAGTCACTGTGGATTGGGAGCTCTGCTGGGACCATCCTCACAGCCTGCCAGGCTACATGCAAGCCTGGCTGATGTACAGGGGCCAGGACCATTGTGGAAGGATTTCTGCAGAGGTCTGTCCTGCTCCCAGCACGCAGATGCCAGGATCACAGATGCCTCCTGTGCTGGTCTGAGCTTCCCACACTATTCCCTTCCAAAGGAAGGCTGGAGCACACTTGCCAGCATGTTTGCCGGAGCCCTCAACTCTGCTCATTTAAGTGCAAAGCTCCTCTGTGCCTATTTTAATTAGATTCCAGGGGAATAAAAGGGAGGGGATCCCTTAGCAGCAGCCATCTGACACGTGTCTTTCTCCCCAAAGTCTGACATGTTGCAAAGAGAGATGGCTCTGAGGGTGTCTGCTCCTTTTTCGACACCAGAATAAATAGCACGGTGCAGGAGAGCGAGGGGTTTGGAGGACCCTGTTCACGTGAGCCACGGTTACAATCACCTGCCCTGCACCCCATCTACAAGCCCCTGCCAGCACAGCGGAGGATGCCCCTGCGTGCTCACCGTATCTGCTGAGGGACTTGGTGAAGGTGGAGGAGTTGGAGATGTTGTACGCCGAGTTCTGCTTGGGCACCAGGGCTACCGAGGAGCCATCCGTCACCTGGGGTAGAGATGGCATGAGCAGGCTGTGACACCAGAGAGACACAGGAGGAACAGCCCCACAGCAGGGAGAAACCAGCCCCAGAGGGACGAAGCTACACTGCACCCCACCCCAGGGGCATCCATCTTCAGCAAAGGAGACCTACATATCTACCCTTGCGACAGCTCAGGGGCAGGGGTCAGACCAGCAACACGCCAGAAACCCTGGCATGAAAATGGCAAAGGCCAGAGCAGGAAACAGCCTCTATGAGTCCGGAAGATGCCCCATGTAGTGCTTCCTTGAACGGAAGGACCGTAAACATGGGTCCCAGGCAGGGAAGTAACTGCAGACCTCCTGGTCATGTCCCTGCACGAGCAGCATGGTCTGGAGAGCCGAGCCCAGGCCCTGACCAAGCTGAGCAGGAAGAAGAGATGCTCAGGCTCCCAGGAGTTGGTGACTGCTCAGTGCTCTCCTCCACGGACAGCCTTACCTGGTAGTGGGCCAGAGTGTTTAGCCTCTTCCAGTCATTGTCGATCTTTGTGGTGACATCTTCGTCCTGCAGTATGATCCGAGCCATCCTGCCCTGCCGCCACTCTGTCCCCGTAAGGGAGAAGGGCTCGTGGTTAGTGGGGGCTTGGAGCACTAAGCCAAGGCAAGAGTAGGAGCACCCTGGGCATCAACAAGAGCCATCCTACCACCTTCCGAACCCCAGGACTGATGACTGTTAATATGGTGTTGGGCAAAAGCTGTTTATAAGTACTCAATGAAAGACAGCATCGATTTGACCCTCGTGACTGCTTCCTTTGCTCCTCTCCATCCTCCTGTCCCTCCTTTAAGAACAGGACCATTAATGTTGTTCTCAACTATCACTGGTCTCCTTGTCCCTCAGCCACCTCATGCCTGCAACCCAGAGCACAGCCAGAGCCGAGGAGGCTCTTCTACCCACCCTCTCTACTGGCAGGACTCACACTCTCATGCCAGGGGTCCCCACACACAGTCAGTGCCACCAGCACAGCAGAAGTGGACCGGACAAGCACAAACACTCTGATCCTGCAAGGTCCCCTCTCCTCTAGGAGATGCAGATTTTCCTGCCTTAAACAGTTTTTTTGGCACTTCTGTTTGTGGTCACTTCCCTGCCCCCCACAGGGAAGTGCTTTGCCTCTCCTCTTACCCAGGTCCATGTCTCCAGCTTTGGGTCGCTGGGAATAGGGCACACCCTTGTAAACGGCGTCCAGCAGCTTCTCTTTCACCTGCGTGATGGTGTCGCAGTTCAGCACCTTGACGGGGATCTCCGGGGCGTTCTCATTCTCAGGGTTCACGCAGTTGAGGGTCTGCACAGCACAGGGGGACAGACTCAAGTGAGAGGTTATGACACACTGGCTGCAAGGGCAGGTCCAAGGACATGGGGCTACAGCTGTCTACAGGCCATGTCTTCTCACCTCCTGGGCTACTGCAGAGGTGCAGCCATGCAGGATATTCCCGCTCCCCTCTTCTCCCCACCTCTCTCCCCCAATCCCCAAATCTCCTACTATTCCCAGAAAGGCAGTACGGTGTCAGCGAAGGAATCCTGGACCAGCAAACCATGCTCAACTCACGAAAACCTGTCTAGCCTGAGTGATGCCTGTGCACACTCCACTCCCTCTCAATCCCACCTCAGTGGAGATGGAGGTGGTGAAGGACCAGCTGCAGGCTCAGCCAGGGGAAGGGCCTGGTTTATCATTCAGCTGGACAGAGGACATGGCTCATATGGAGGAAGAGAAGTATCTCTCCATCTCAAGGCTCTAACTCTGATCCCCACCCAACGTGAGCCACTGGCTGCTCCACACTCAACAGCATCTCTGTCCCCGTGTCTGTCAGGGCCATGGGGTGTGTTGGGAGAGGCAGAGAGGGGCATTCAGTTCACACCTGGCTTTCTCAGCTCCATGGCAAGAGCAAACCTTGCCAGGCAAAGACCCTGAATCTAACCCTAGCTGAGATGGGTACCACACAGATAAGGTTAAGAGGCACCCCAAGGACACTGGAGAGAAGAACAAGAGACAAACTACTCTCTGCACAGTACTTTGGGTGCATCCTACATCTTGTTAAATAACTGGACCTAGCAGCCCTGGCAAGCACCAGTACCAGTGCGGCTCCTGCTTGCACTAACCAGCATCTTGTAGTCAATCTGCTGCCGGATAAGCTTGTCTTCACTGAGGGAGTAGCGAGCCTCTCCTGTGATGGCATCAATGGGTCCCTTCTCCATCTGCTGCTTGATGGCACAGTAGAGCATGAAAAGCGGTTCCCCGGCACACTCCTGTGGGACAGGGGATGGAGGAGAGGGAGAAAGAGAGGTGAGAAGGTGCCGGGCACCACCTTTCAAGAAGCACCACCATGTCAGGAGCCTGCTGTGCCCCTGCAGCATCGAGCCCCACACATGGCTTTATAAAGAGTCTCCAGCCCTTGCTCAAGACAGCAAGGAAGGGACACATGGTAAAATTCGTCCCACGGAGGAATTAATTTTCTCCGTTCAAGCCTGCTGGAGGTTGTTCCCTTGTTTATCAACCCCTAGGCTCTGCTTTCCCAAGTTTCCAGACACTTCCTGGTGAATTCTGCTCATTCTACAGGCCAATAATAAGCTAAAAAGGTTAAATTCAGGGCTAATGAAGAGCAGGCTGGGTCTGGGGACTTTGTGTAGGGATATAGCCTATCTTTTGAGCTGGCCCAGCCAAGAGAAGCACCTGAGGACTGGAAAGGGGATGCTGCAGCCAGACAGCCCGGGGCCCTTCCCCAGAGATCACGACGCAGTTCTGGCATCTGCCCGGAGTCCAGTTTCACGTGAGAGAAGGTCAAAGGCAGTTTTCTCCATGTGACAGCTGGGCACAGCCAGACAGATCCGCTGGGAAGGAATAGCAAGAAAGCAACTCACTGACAACCTTACCCTGAGTCTCCAGCTGATGGATGGGATCAGGCAGCGAGGTTTCCTACAGTTTTAAACTATTTGCCACCTACATGTCCCCAGTGTCAAAGCCCTACAGTCAGAGCCAGCTTTAGACACCAGCCAGAACCACATCAGCATCTATCTCCCAGATGGGAGGAAAGGAAAGGGAAATTGGACCAGAGACCAGACACTTCCCCTGAAGATGCTGGAAGTGCAGCGACCCAGGAACAGCAAAGGACCTGCCAAGGTTGGAGGCACCAACCAGTTGGAGTCATGAGTTGGTGTAGGAGGGCTGGAAGTGGACACCTCTGTATCACCCAGGGCCCAAACCTCTCCCCTGAGCTGCATCCCAATGAGCCCTTCCAGATACAGGCATTAGTCCTAAGGGGGAAAAAGGTACGATGGGAGCAGAGAGGACGGGGGGAACTCCCAGAGGATTTTACCCCACCAGCCCTCACCCTTCTCTTCCGTCCGCCTCACAAATAAATTGTACTTTGGTGCAAAGTGCGGCTGCTCTCCCTGTCACCATATGCTGTTAGCATCTCGTTAGCATCTGCGGTAATTAAAGAGACAGCTGCTAACGAGCAGGAACAGGCATACATCATCCCCAGACCTTCCGACAACACGCCTGTCTTTGAAATTATGTTTCATTTGCAAACTTGGCTTCATTAAGTCAGCTTGGAAAAGTGAGAGACCCAAGGTGGGTGCTACGCTGTGCATTACCGGCTGCTCAGCAAGGTGGGAACACCACGCTGGCCACAGAGTGGTGAGCCTCCAGCCACCTCCACAGCACCCCGAGCACACCCCTCAGGCGACAGCAGAAAGACTCTAGTTGCTTCTTTTGGTTGCTTGTAAAAATCTCCTTGTAAAACTTCGGAGTCTGCAGAAGTGGTGTGGATGGAGGATAGCTTGGAGCAGGACTCCTCCCATCTCAGCCCAGGGTTCCCCTCTCCGGTGAGGCATGGTTGCTGCTCTCCCGTCTGCAGCTCTGGGGATCCCCACTGAGAAAGGTGGGTTCAGCCCTTCCAACATCGGGGGCCAGGTTGCACTCCAGGCACTGCAATATCACTGTCTCCGCTGCTCAGACACCAGCCGAGCTGATGGGGAATAAATATCTTTTTGTATGTGTGGATTAGATCTGGTCTTACAGCCTCCCTGGAGGGACAGAGGCATCAGTGGTCCTGGTGAGGGGTACATCACTCCTCCAGCACCATGCAGGCTTTCGGAAACTCCTGTATGTCCTGGGATCCTGATCTCCTTCCAACCTGTTGTGCACCCTAATGTCAACTGGAACAGCCCCTCTGCCCTGTCCCCCTGACTCTGCGCATCCTCCACATTGCAGCTTGGCTTCCCCACCTGTCCCAAATGTGGGTCCTACCCTTAAAATCCAAAACCTTCCTCCTAACCTCACTGTCCCCCACCAGCTCTTGAGGACCTGTGCCAAGATGCTGCTGCAGGTCACAACTCACTGAGCTATGACAGATGAGGACGGTTTAGGGCTCGTCCCCGACAGACACCACCAACATGAACGGCGACAGCAGAAACCAGCAGCGGGCAGTTGCCCCGAGATGATCTCCATCGGGTGAGATAAAGGAGGGGATCGCTGAGCTGTGGCCCAACAGGTTGATGCAGGGCAGCCTGCCCCCCAAACAGAGCCGTGCCCACGCTCTCAGCCAGCCCTGACGCAGTTCTTACTGCTGGGGGGCCTGAGCGAGGAGGGGCTGGGGGGCTCCCTGTGTGAGCCAAGGGCAGCCGCAGACACCCCCACGCATGGCACATCCACGCCCGCCCGCGTGGGTACGTGGGGAGCAGGCTGAGGCGAGCCAGCTAACGCTCAAACTGTCTTATTGACTAGATCTAGCTCATCAGGCACCTAATATCATGCATTTTTCAGTGCTTGTCTCGATTTATCCCTCTCCCTTTCCCCGGGGTGTCTCATTAAGAGTCTGATAAATGCTACTACAGGGGCCCCGTGAAAGCACCAGCCCTCGCTGGCTCCCAGCGCTGCTGGCCCTGGGCAGGGGGGACTGTCCTACCCCTGTCCCTGTCCCTCGCCCCAGCACATCACGGCTGCGTGATGCCGAGCGCGCGGCACTGCTCCGGGCAGGTTTGCCGAGAGCCAATCTGGCAGCTGGGCACACACCCGCCTGCCTCATTTACATGCACAATTACTGTGGTTTGGTGCAAGGCATATGTTTCCCTGCTGGCAAACTGTCTGCTGTGATACCTCTCCATCTACTCCATGGGTTTCTCCTGCTTTTGATGCCACCTGTGATCCCTACTGCCGGGAAACAGCAGAAATGGCCCTGCGGGTCTCCTCTGGTGGGGCAGACCCAGGAGAGGCCATGAGCGCATCCTCAAGTCTCTTCCAGTCTAACTCCAGTGACCCAAGTGATGAAGTTTCAACCACTTCCCCAGGGAGATGATCCCCAGCGTAACAAATCTCACAGCCGGCGGGTTTATCCAGGCCCTCTGCATATGTTCCTCTTGTAACGGTGCATTTCGATCAGACTTCTCTCTCCTGCTGCTACCACCCGAAGACTGGAGGCATTTTCCCCCACCAAAGCCATGCCATAGCCAAGGACTTTATAAAAGGCATTGCCCTTGTGCCATCCCCACGTCTCTCTCCTGCTACTCCTTATCCTCAGACCTGCCGCCCCGCGCTGGTGATGTGCCTGGCAGCCTCTCCGAAGGGGGACAGGGCTGTACAAGGACAGATGCAGGACAGTGGTGGCACACGAACTGGTCCAAAGCAGCTTCTGAATGAAGTGAATGTGCCCCCATGATCTGCCCACAGGGCCAGGCATCAGGTCCCACACACGAATACAACATCCCCAAATGCCGCTTTGAGGATCAAAGGCTGTGTGCTGCGCTTTGCTCAGCCAAAGCACAACCTTGTTCACTTCAAGGAGCCCTGAGGCAGCTTATCCACAGCGAAATAGGTCCCACCAACCCCGCAGAGCCCAAACAGCTGTCTGCTGGTGTCCTACCTGATCCCACTGGGTACATCCTACTTGATCCCATTGGGCGCTGCCGCTGCAGGGGAGGGGGGTGGCCCCACTGAGCAAAGCTCCCAGCATGAAGAGGTGTCGGAAGATTTGACATCTGCCCGTGAACGGCACAGCTTTCCTCCTCTCCCACCCCTGGAAAGCAATCTCTGCTGCGTGCTACAGCTAGATTTTTATAGATACAGGCTATCCCTTGACGGAGGCAAAAAGCCAAGCGCATGTAAGTGATATTATAAATCACCTCTCGTTGACGATCACTTGAGTTCTGCACAGACTCCTGCTCACTCTCATCTCTTGGCTGGAAATGGTTCAAATCCTCTTTATCTTAATGAGGGATGAAATCCCACAAAAACAGCTGTGTGCCACCCAGCCTCGCTGTACTGACACCAGGCAGGATCCCAAGGAATGGCTCTGCTGACTGACAAACCAGCAGCAGGACTGCAGACGCTGTTCATCCCACCACTGTCATCCCGAAGGAGCAGCAGGACTGAGCCGGTGGTCCATGGGCTGGAGCTACGGCTGTGTAGCCAGTGGTCCATGGGCTGGTGCGGATCTAGCAGAGGTGGAAGCACCAGTGCTGATAAGATAAATGTTCTCAATATGGGTTGGATGAACCAGCAGTAAAATCTGTCCTTACACTTTGGCATCCTCTTCTGCCACCCTGATGAAATTAGGAAAAAGGTGAATTCGAGCTAAAACGGGCTCGCCAGCGCAGGAACAGGCATGAGGAGGTCCAACGTCATCTGCACCCTCGAGCGCATGCTGCGGAGGGAGCTGCATCCCTGGCTGCCAACAGGCCCCACGGGGTATCCGTCCCTACCGGCACACCTTTTGGAGGGGAAGCAGCAGCAGGAGTGGAGATGCCTGGGGGAAATGATGCCCCTACCAAGGAGCCTCAGTGTCAAAAGAGAGATGAAGGAAAAGCAGTGGTGTTAAATGAAGGGTGCAGCACATCAAACTGCAGCTTAAACAGGCAGAAATATCCCCTGAGCACAGTTGTGCCTACAGAAGGACCAGCTCCCGGGGCTTTTTCCTCCTGAGTTACACGAGTAGAGGCAAGGAGGGAGGAATGGGGACCACTCCGAAGGGATTCAAGACTCAGTTGAGTTGCTTCAGATTCATCCTTTCTGCAGGCACCATTTTTATGAAGATCTCAAACCCACTATGCATTAAGCAATGCCAGTCTGGATTTCATTTCTCAATCTCAGCTACTTCCCCAAAAGGAGACCCAGAATCACTAATCACATCTCAGAAACCCAGGATGGAAACGGCGGCCTAGGAAGCGATCTCTGCTCTGGGAGGGAGTGGCAGCACTCAGGAACACATCAGCCCAGGCTCTGGGTACCATGCTGCCCATCCCAGCAAGGCAGAAACTACCTCCCTGCCCACGCAGGGTTGCCATCTCTTCCCAAACTCACCTTCAGAAACTTGTACAGCAGAAACGTGAACCAATTCGTCAGCATCTTCTCTGCCACCGACTCCGTTCTATAGAGAAGACAGAGAGCAAAGCCATCAGGAGAGGATATCAGAGGTCTCTGGTCTCACCCACTGCCACCTCAGCTTCAGGCTGTGGCTAAATTGTTTTTGGCTTTAAAAGGTCACATCTGGAAAGGCAGGAGCCTCAAAGCAAAGGGGCACAAGTAGTCAACAAAAGCTCTAGTGGAAAGCCTGCACATCTGCAAGGCTGAGCCACAGCAGCCCCCAGGAGGGAAAAGCAAATTGGTCTCTGGCTTATTTGGAGAACCAGAGCAAGCTGAGCACAACCTTGTCCCATGGGGACTCTCACCCAGGGGATGACCAGCTTTCTGCTTCTCCCTGGTACCTTCTACTTAAATGAAGTTTGTTTCCTCCATCATATCCCATTGGAACCAGGCAGCTCCCTCCACAGGAGGAATGCATGAGACACCTAAGCCAGGTAAAATCTCACCAAACCTACCTCAAGCTCCCCTGTTGGGGAGCACAACCTGAAGGGAAGAGCTGAGGTTGCAAAGCAGAGTCAGATCCTGACCCACATTCCCATGCCAGGAGCACCTCCTCCCACATTGCTGAGTACCTGCTCCAGCTGGAAGCCCCTCTCCCCACTGGGGAGCTGCTGCTGACTTCTGCTCCTGCAATGCATTCAATACCATTATTGCCCTGATACCCACCACTACTGGGTAACATGGGACTTCCCTGCAATCCCCAAAGTAGCCCCTTGATCTCTACAGCCTCAAAGCCCAGGATCCACAGGAAGAGCAGTGGCTGGAAGCTTAAGCTGGTTCCCATGTACCTTTGGAGCACTGTGCAAAGATAGTGCCAGGCTTGGGATTTAACCCTTCCCCACCTGCACGGGGGAAATCCCGGGTATCTCTGAGTCTCCTCGGAATGGGATGGTAATGTGGGAGTTTGCAGTGAACAACGCTGCAACCACCTGCTCCAAAAGGAGTTTAGAAATGGAGCCGTGCCTCTCAGCTTTTGGAGACGCACTTGAAGGAAGCACCCAAAACTGCCTTGAGAAAACCTATATATTGCCCTTGTTTCCTAAAGCATGATTCAAATCCAGATGCCATCATGCTCCAAAGCAGCATGGCAGGGAAGATCCAGGAGAGTCACCTGTGTCTGTCTGGCATCATTACCACGCAGCACGTGCACAAGAGGGAGAGCAGGATCCCGCAGGATGAGTGCAAGATGTGGTGGGTCCAAATAGGACGTGGGGTTCTCAGGGTGGTGGTACTGCAGCCAGGACATGCCTCACCAGCAGAGGAGAGGGACAGCCTGGCATGGAGGGAGCTGAAGGTGACACAGGACCCAGGTGAACCACGCAGTCCTACAAGGGCAGCTTAACGCGCCTGTCTCTGCACCACAGCCTGGTCTCGCTGCCATAAGATTAAAATTCGCTTTAACACATCCATTATTTTTAAAGTGGCTTTCACTCCCTTTAAAGTAAAAATGCCAGCCAGCCCCTCGACCCTCTCCGGTTAGGCTTCTTCATCTTATTCACCCATTAATCATCAGATCAGGCACTTGCAAACGCAGATGCTCCTGAAAGCACGAGCCATACTAATAACCTCAGGAACGTGGCTGCATTCCTGCTGCGCCAGGGGAACGGATACAAACGGGTTGACTCAAGAAACAAAACCCAGAAGGAACCCAAACCTCAGAGCCACCAGAAGGAGCCCAACACCATGCACTGCCCAACAGCAACGCCATGCCCGGCAGATGGACCAGGAGCAGTTCCTGACGGCCAGATGGCTGGGGTAGAAAATCCACTTTCCCAGAGTTTATTCAGGCTGACTTGGGGTCGTATGGTCCCATCCCAGGCTCTCTCTGGTGCTAAAGGGCCCTTTAGCCCTTTTTGCCCTCCCCGGAACAGCACAGCTCTCCTTAAACCTTTAGGGGACAGTCATACCTGAGCCCCCAGATGAGGGAAGCCTTCCTGCACCTGCCAGGAAAGATTAATCCATCAAGGGGAAGAAAAAAGGGAGAAGGGATGTGTGGAGAAAGCCAAGGAGGGGGTGGATTGAAGCTACTCAGCAGACATCCTCCCCGGCCCCAGACCAGGTCCTTCACAGACAAGCCTGTAACGCTCATCTGAAGTGCCACCACACGAACGTCTGTCTTTATCCGCGATAGAGCCAGATGCCACAGCAATGAGGGGATTATCCAATAACAAAATAAATAACAGCTCTCCCCAGTTAGATCAATGTTAATCCAGTTGCCCTGGGCGGTTAAGCACACTCTCGCGCCCAACAGCAGGGCTAATCAAAAGGATGGAAAAGCACAACCCTCAGCACCGCTTACTCTGTGCCGCAACTGCAGGAAGAATAAATATCTTCAAATATCACTCAGGGAGGGACAAGCAAGGTATTGGTCAGGGTACCTCATCCCTGTCCTAAGCCTCCCGCAGCTCCACCTGCGATGGGCCCCGAGCTCCACGGCTGAGGACCGACAGTCCTTGGGCTGCTGGCTCTCACCGTGCCGGCGTGGGCTGGGCTCTGCCCCCGTGCCGCTCCCACGGCTCAGCCACTGCAGCTGCTGGCCTCCCTGCACTGCCTTTTATTTATATTTTATTGATTTACTTCATTCTGGAGCTTTGCTCTGATGGTAGTGGCTTCGTGATGTTCTGAGACACCCAGGAGCTGGAAACGCAGTTTAAATATTTCAGTGGAGCCTGGTGTCATGGAGGGACAGTAAGAAGGGAAGAGCCTAAGGATGCGTTCAGGGAACAGGGATGGGGACAGGGGTCAGCACCTCCAAAACCCACCCCTCTCCCAGCCAGCCACAGGTCTGTACCGCACCCCCTTTCTGGCACATTGCTAATAAGGTGCTTTGAGAAATGAAGGGCACCCTTGTAAGATGATAAATGAAGCAGAGGGAGTAAGAAAGCAATGTGCCTGAAGAGACCGGCTGAGGGAAGGTAGCAGGGATATAACTTGGGACCAGCTCATATCAGTGTCTTCTCCAGGCATCTCCCCAGGGCCAGGCACACAAAACCCAACAGGTTTTGTCCAGTCTGGCCATGCCATGAACACTGGTTGATGTTTGAAAGATGCTCTGGTTTTCATGAGCCTTTCTGGTGACGTGCCAGTCCCGTGGCTCTCAGCCGTCCCTGCATCTCCGCTGGAGGCTGGTAGCACCAGGCTGGTGGAGGCGGAGGTGGGGCGGCACAGCACGGCGTGCAAAAGGAGAAGATGGCACGGAGGGCCTCGAGCTGGGCTGGTGGAGCTTATTAATTGTTTTTGTTCAGCACTTGGTGTATCTTTCAATATTCATCAGCCCGTGATGAAGGAGAGCTCAGAGCTATCGTTAAATATTGATGGGCCAGGCAGACTCACGGCAGGGCTTGGCAGGCTGCCTCCTGCTCGCGCTCCCGCCCAGCCCCAGCGAGACTCCCAGCTTGCGAAGATCTGCTCAGCTTTCCCAGGAAAACCCCCACGTGCCCGGCACAGTGGGCAAGCCCCAAGGGGGCATCGGGGAAAGGAGGACTCTTGCCTGCTGCTGGCCTACGGAGGCACCCATGCAGCAAGGCAGCCGCCAGGCAAGGCGAGAGCTGCCCCACGTGCCGAGAGGTGTGGGGGACTGCTGGGTCACCTGGAGCAGGGAAGGCAGGTGGGAGCATCGCTGCAGTGATACACAACAGCACCTGACACCAGCGTGCATCCTCCCTGCACCAGCCTGCGCAGCCAGCAGCTGCCGAGCATCTTGCTGGCTCCTTCCCAAACAAAATGAACCTGCACAGGCCAAAACAGAGTGAGAACATCCCATGGGCGACTCCCGAGTTGGCTGGGTCCAGGTGGTCCCACATCGCTCTCAAACTTGCATGGAAATGCTTGAGCACAGACCCAGTGCCAACACTGCCACAGCCAACACCAAACCCATCACTGATGGCATCCCTAAAGAACGCCAGCTCGTGTCCACACATTCAGAAGAGCCTGGGCACTGTCCCACAGCTCCTCGGATGGTCACTCACCTCCGCAATAGCAGCTTGGGGTGGTTCTTACTCTCCAGGTTCTTCTCGATGAGGTCGGAGAGGAGCTGCTTCAGCACACCTGTGGCGTACTCCATCTCGCCCTGCAACGCCGTCATGATAAGGGAGGCCACGTTGCCACGGTCCCGCATGGAGAAGCTCCGCTGAGCCTCCAGAGTGCGGATGAAGGTCAGCAAGAAGTGCTTTTTGTTCAGGAGCTGCCCAAAGAGGGTCAAGGACTTTTCCACGTTCGCCTGGACCTGCAAGGATAGAGCAAAGCTGGGAGATGGGCAGGAGGGGGAGGGCGATGAGAAGAAGGTAGCCAGGCTGCACAAGACCCTGGATTCACCCTCATCCCCCAAGAGGAAAGGATGAGAAAGGGTCAAAAAACAGCTGGATTTGCTCTCTCCATACTGTCAAGCTTCCTCTTTGGTGATCAGCCTCAGTTCCCTCCAGAAGTAGTATCTAGTTTGTAGTATCTCAGCATCAGGTTAACACAGTCTCAGGGCATCGATGTATATATATGTATATACATACACACACTGCCATACAAAGACTGTCTCCCACGCGTGTGCAGGCACACACACTCACTTCCCTCCCATAAACAAACACTCTTTCTCTCCCAAACACACAAACCA